AAGGGCGTAAGCAGTATTGAAAGCTAAAGCAATGGGAGAGAGAATTTCCATGGAACATTATTTTGGGTTGTAAGTCGGATTGATTTCGATGTCCTTTAGACATGTCAATAGAAAATGAAATATATTTTGGATTCTTTTGGTTGTTGCCTGTGTTATGGTAAATGTAATATCTATGGAAAGTAGATTATGAAATGCTCTGGCTTATTTTCAAGTTGTGTTTATATTTATTTTTCTTTTTTTAGGTTATTATTAAAACAAAAATTCAATATTAAAAAAACCCTGGCGTATAGCCTGGGTGGCTCAGTCGTTAAGCGTCTGCCTTAGGCTCAGGTCATGATCCCAGGGTCCTGGGATCGAGCCCCGCATGGGGCTCCCTGCTCGGCGGGAAGCCTGCTTCTCCCTCTCCCACTCCCCCTGCTTGTGTTCCCTCTCTCTGTGTGTCTCTCTGTCAAATAAATAAATAAAATCTTAAAAAAAAAAAAACAAGAATGGTCAAAGAAGCTAAGTTGAAGGTAAGACTTGAATTGGAAACTTGTAAGAGGTGCAAGAAATCAATTGTGAGAAGAGAAAAGAAAATGTTTCAAGAGAGGGGTCAGAGCAAAAGTGCCACAGTAGGAAAAACAGCCTGGCCAGCAGTGTAATTGCCTAACTGCACTAATTCCTGAGGGTGGGCTAGGAGGTACTCGCAGGGAGCAGCATTAGAGCCCTCAGAACGGCAACGCAAGGGCTTCACCATAGGAGTTTTGATTGACAGAGTGATTCAAGAACCTGACTTTAAAACAGTCTACATATTTTCCCATTCCTTAATTAGCTGAACTAAGAAAGAGGAACAATTCTAGATTATTTAAAATAATGAAATATTTAATTCCCTTTGGAAGTGCTTTTGTATGGAAATTCAAATAAAATTATGTTTGCTCTGACACCGCACAGTGCAGATTATAGAAGAACTATGGAGCTTTCTCTTGGTTCACGTTCATCCAAAATATGCACAATACTGACTGGAGGGGTGTGTTGCAAAACCCTAATAGAGTTGGTCTTTTCCTTAAAATTTCTGGGCTAAATGAATTAGACATACTCTAAGATGACTGTGTACAAAAAATTAGGCACAAAAATTATTCTTTCAATTGCACTGGATAAAAATAAATTGGGCAATCAGTTAAAAGATTCTCTTTTTTTAAATAAAAATCCACCCTGCAATTTTGGCAGAAAAATTTGTACCTAAGTTCACTGGAGTATGAGTTAGCATTATTGACTTAGGATAATTTTGTGGCATGTCGTTATTTGTTTTATAAGTGAGTTCTCTTGACACTTTTCTGCCTACAATTGCAACTTTAGAATGAACTAAGAATACCTATGGCAGAATGCTAATAATCACTTCAGAGTCACATCATTATTAGTATCAGCCCACAGAAAGTGCAATAGCCTTGGTCCAAATCTAACTCTAAATTTTTAAACGAATAAAGACTAAATTAAACATATTTCCTTGGTGAAACTGTTGGATCATTAACTGAATACTAACGGAAGGCTAATCTTCAAGGTATTTTTAAATTACTGTCCATTCAATGACATTTGGATTTTATCTTATACAAGTTTTTTCCTGCAAAATTAATATAGTTCAGATAATTCAGATATAAACCTCAAATACATTTCATATCTTGTTTTTTTTTTCAAATACATAAGGGTTAATTGTGTGCTATAGTGATAGTGATGTTTCCCTTTTAAAATATAACCAGAATAAGATATTAAAATAGACTCAGTGAAATTTATCACCATCAAAACACATTGAGAATCTATTTTCATAACATGCATTATTAGTTGCTGCGCCCAGCAAATTAGACAGACATAATCTGCCTCTTGGGAATTCAAAATCCAAGGCTGATGTTGCTGATGCAGATGCTGCTGGGGTAACTCAGATAAGGAGGTCAGCATTAAACAAATAGACAAGTTGAATAGGTGAATTTAGAAAATATTTGGGGGCGCCTGAGTGGCTCAGCTGTTAAGCATCTGCCTTCGGCTCAGGTCATGATCCCAGGGTCCTGGGATTGAGCCCCGCATCGGGTTCCCTGCTCCGCGGAGAGCCTGCTTCTCCCTCTCCCGCTCCCACTGCTTGTGTTCCCTCTCTTGCTGTGTCTCTCTCTGTCAAATAAATAAATAAAATCTTAAAAAAAAGAAAATAATTGCTAATAACAAATAACTTGATAAACAATAATTTGTATTCTGACACTTCCAATATTCTTGTCTTTCAAATAACTCATCAGCCTCTCAGGACCTGTGCCTCAGGTTCATACACTAGGCACCAGCGTATAATAGAGACTAATAAATAAGGCTGAATTCTTGCCTAGATGGACCACAGAAAAAGAAACATGGGCAGAGAGGTTGGAAATTCCAAGGAAGAAAAGAAATTGGCTTGATGTCTTCGTGATTTAAAATTGGATTAGGAATGTAAATTTACTGCTCAAATCTAAATAGGAGGAAAATTTAAATTCAATATTGATTCTTTCTTGGTTCACTACTGAATGTCATATGTTTGAAATAACCCACTGAAATAAAAATAAAATAAAAACAAAACCCCCCATAATTGATGGTAAAAAGTGATGAATTACTCCAACAACCTGATCAATAACTCCTAGCCTCTGTGCCTAGGATCAGGAAAAGTTCTGGACTAAAAGAAGATCTATTATATTTTCTTTTTTCTCTATGGAAAAAAATCCCTAGAATAAAACAGCAGAAACAAATATTTATTTATATATTTTGCATTTTTTATTGCACTATGTGTATTTCCAAAACAATATAATCCCACATGTTGGAATAGAACACGTGTTCTTACAAAGCTAAACAAATACATAAATGGGCGAGAGCACTTTGGCATGTGTGCTATGGTTAAGGTGACTGAATCTGCTCTACTGTGCCCTACTTTTTTCATGAAACCCAAATTTGATTCTAGAGGAAAGAAGATGAAGCTAGGTTGGAATTGCTGCTGAAATGTCATAGCTGATATTTATTCATTCAGGTTTGGAGAAAAAAGCAAAAGTCTTTACATGACTTTTTTTTTCAGATCAAAAAAAAAATTCTCGTTAAAATGTAAAAAGGGTCAGACTTTTAAATTTACTCACTCTCCTTGTTAAATAAAATTATTTGGGGAATATGAAATTGAAATAGCATATTTTAATACATTAAAGTATTTAGCAAAAAGCTCATAACTTCAAAAAACAAAATCAGGCGAATACGCATTTGCATTTATATATTAACTAAGTAGCTATGGATTCCTGGATTAGTCATAGACAAAAAATATGAAAGAAAAAACACACAAAAGTAGGCAGAAAAGTAATCAAGCTCGTGAGATATATATTCTAAAATTATTACTGGGAAAGTTAATTTTGGAAAGAAAAAAACATTTTAGTCAACAAAAAATGACAAAAGGAAAATTCTTTCTTCCTCTCCTTCTTTCTTTCATTCTTTCTTTCTTTCTTTTTAATACTTTATTTATTTATTTGACAGAGAGAGATAGCGAGAGTAGGAACACAAGCAGGGGGAGTGGGAGAGGGAGAAGCAGGCCTCCTGCCCAGCAGGGAGCCCGATGTAGCGCTGGATCCCAGAATCCTGGGATCATGACCTGAGCTGAAGGCAGACAGTTAATGACTGAACTACCCAGGCGCCCCCCTTTCTTTCTTTTTCTTTCTTTCTTTCTTGCTTTCTTGCTTCTTTTTTCTTTCTTTCTTTCTTTCTTTCTTTCTTTCTTTCTTTCTTTCTTTCTTTCTTTCTTTCTTTCTTTCTTGTAGTTTCAAGTTTTTATTTAAATTCTAGTTAGTTAACATATAGTGTAATATTAGTTTCAGGAGTAGAATTTAGTGATTCATCACTTACATGGAACACCAAGTACTCATCACAAGTGCCCTCCTTAATACCCATTACCATCTAGCCCATCCCCCACCCACCTCCCCTGCAGCAACCCTCAGTTTGTTCTCTATAGTTAAGAATTTGTTTTATGTTTTGCCTCTCTTTTTATCTTATTATTGTCACAATTCACCCAATATGAAATACATAATTTGAATAGTTGCACAACTATTAAGGACATTGAATTAACTTAGCACTTCAACCTATGCTGAGATCTGAAAGCACCTCAAAGCATAAAATCAAGTTATTATAAGGCATATATTGTTTGTTTCCCTTCCTCTCATGCATGAAACTCTGCTGTTGCATGCTGTTCAAAGCCTGAAAAAGTTTTTCATATACTTTGTCCAGTTTCCTAGTTGTTTATGGTGGGAGAATAAATATAATACCAAATCTAATATGGCCATATGCACATTTTCAAAGGTCACTACTTTTAATTAAAATTAAATTGTGATTATTAAACATTGGCAACCTACTTGCTTCTTATCTCTTTAGTGTAAAACTCTAGACCAGAGTATGTTTTTCACAGCAAGAGAAATAGACCCACCTTTCAGTATTAGGATCTTGAAAAATGACAAGAGATTCCATTCCAGTTTGGAAGGCCCTGAATTTGATATATAACTTTATTTTTATTCCTAATATGGATGTACAGATTAGAGCTACATTGAGATGTATCAGTCTAGGTTCATTCAAGAGTGAGAACCCCCACAGTAGGTTGAACAGCATAAGTTTAATGTAAAGAATTATTTAAGTATGATAAAAGAGTAATTATAAGATAGAACAAGACTCAGTATGCTATCGTGGGGATGAGAGAGAGTACCTGAGGAAGGACAAACTTGGAAGGTGTTCAGAATTTGCTGGAGAAGGTGTGGTTCCACTCACTGGAGAGCAAAGTGTTTTGCTGCTTTAACAGGGCTGGAGTTGGTCTGCAGAGATTGGGTAAGCAGAAGGTGACCTCGAGCACGGTAAGGGAGCAGGGTGGCTGGAACCTTCCCAGGCCACAGACAAAGGAGTACAGGTTTCATGGGAACCCCACGGAGTTAAGGAAGTCAGGCTTGCATTGGTATTATGGATGCCAGGATGGCTGAGATGACTTCAGTATTAGTATGTAGGGTGCAGTATGTTTGGGCAACAGTTTGGATAGAAACCCTTTGGAATGCTGGTTTCTGGAATGAGAGAGCTGCTGAAAGGTTATTGCCAAACTAAACTGCAAGATTACTGAGGGACCACGCATTCTGGAACACACGCTAGGGCAAACGTTCTCATATGCAAGCGGCTGACCCACCGCAGTCCGCGGAAATACGGAGTCCTTCTTGTCTCGTATCCCACCGGCGCCCCCTACTGAGAAGGTTTAACACCGTACTCACCATAAAGGAGAGATGCTGAAAAGAGGTAGGTAGGACATCTATTGAAGGGTAATTTTGGATCTGAAAGTCAATACATTTATAACTGGCATATCTGGTTACTTGCTGAATTTTCAGATCAAAAATGCACTTTTTTTATACCAAAAAAATTGTAAGATTTATGACCTAGGTTGGTAATGTTTAGGTTACGTTTTGAAAATGTGACCTATGTTTATTTAGCAATCAGAAAGCTACTATTTTATATTTACCAAGTTTCTATTATAAATTAGATTATAATATCTGGTCTTTTTTACTTTCTGGTTGTTTAAATGGCAGCTAAAGCTTTATAGCATAGATTTTTTTTTCTCAACTGAATTCATTAGAAAGTAGATTTTAAGATTTTTGCTTTTTTTGATATCTTTTCCAGGTTTTTTATTTATAGGTGAAATTTTCTCACACTATAATAAACAAATGCCCCATTTCCAAAATCTTTAGATAATTCCATAATTATATCTGTGGACACCAAAATTAACATGCTTATCCCAAACCAAAATTATGAGACTGAGGAGAAAGGGCTTTTTTTTTTTTTTTTAAAGACAGCAAATGGAGTTTATTTGGGATACTTTGTATATGAGGGATCTGATAAGAAAGAGGAATGTCACTCTTAGAAAGAGTAGCATGCAAGGCTTATAAAGGCACTTTTTCAAAGTGTGAGGGACTAGGAGTGGAGAAGCATTTTTCAGTCCCATGGTCATTATCTTGTGGTCGTTACTTTTCAGTGGACACAAGAAAATCACAGGATGACTTTTTCCATAGTTGACATTCTTTTAGAGCTCCTGAAAAATAGAAATACTTGCGCAAGCAAGCTTTAAATTGTTACTTCTAATTTTCCCAGACAACCATTAATCCTTAATGGCTGTTATTTCTTATTTGTTTGCTTTCCCAGAAGGAGGTATTTATCTCTAAGCCTATGGGAACTTTTAGCCCTTGCCTCAGACCAGTGGCTTTCCTGGAGTTAAGTCCCTCTTGATTTTCCTTTACTGTCTCATTTTCCCTCCTGAGATTTTTATCCTCATTCTTCAGCTTTTTTTAAAAAAGATTTTATTTGTTTATTTGACAGAGAGAGAGAGCACAAGCAGGGGAGAGAGGCAGAGGGAGAAGGAGAAGCAGGTTCCCCGCTGAGCAGGGAGCCCGCCATGGGGCTTGATCCCAGGACCCCAGGATCATGACCCGGGCTGAAGGCAGACGCTTAACTGACTGAGCCAGTCAGGTGCCCCTATTCTCATTATTCTTAAAGGATGATGAAGGGCAGTGGTCTCTTCATCTGTAACTGCTTGCTGCTGAGCAGGGCCATTGTCCCTATCTTCCTCTGGAGGTGTAAAAGTCTCTCGCTGACTGTTCTCATGACTTATAGGGATTTGATCCTCCCACAGGGGGATAGGTTGGAGTCCTTACGCCATCACTAGCTTGACTTAGAATTGTTGGAACCTGGAAGACACGCTTCACCAGGGTGTTACAAAGGCAGGGCCCAAAAGTAACAGCAATAAAATGGCCATTAAAGGTCTAAGGAAAGGCAAGAACTAAGTAGCATTTAGTAGGTACCCTTTAACGGAGTCCTGATGCTTTGAGTGGTGGGGTTGTTAAAATTATGTAGCCACGTGGCCTGTTGGGGGATGGTGTCAGCCAGAGAAAGGGATTTTTCTTTAAGGTTGATATTTCCAGTTGAGTTTTGAGCCTTTACCTGAAAGACATTAAAGTTGGATTCAGCAAGGGCACAGAATGATGTTGCCAAGTTTTGAAACATGTTATGTTAAGAATCATAAAGAACTGCTCTGAATAGGAAACAACCCTTTGTGCATCAATCAGATAAAATAGCTTTATTTTTTTAAACAAAGCATTGTTCAGTACATCTAAACCATGAAGAACTATTTTCTTTTAAGTTCTTGTATCTTCTGTATTAAAGCAAATTTAACTTGATCTTTTGTGTAAAATTACATGATACATTTATTTCTTTCATTTCTCATTGCTTAAAGCTGTGTCCTTTGTGTACTATTTCTACCAAGGGTTTTATGCAACATGCTGCAGTGCACCTTTGAGATCTACTATAACCATCACTCAGATGGTATAACTTTAGCAAATCTGAAAAAAAAAATCACTCTTAGTCCAGCCCCAAAACTCATTTCTTTTGACAGTTTCTGTCATCTCTGACAGTTTCTCTTGCGCTCTGACTTGGTAGTCACATTCCTCACTTTGTAAAATAAATCTCTAATTCCTTTAGACAGGTCATTAGCTTAAACACAGATAGCATCATTAGGATAATTTATCAATCATCCGAGCCAAAGAGAAGTGAAAATTTGTAAGAAAGGGAGCAGAATTCAGAATGAAAGGCAGATCTGATGAAACTTCATTTGAAGGGTGGGAATCTACTAGATTTTAATTTCTTGAATTCCAGTTATATTTGAAGGCCTTTCTGCAATCAAGAGAAAGGGAAAGTAAAACAGAATCCCTGCCATTACTGGAAATAACTGAAATCACTCATTATGGTCATAGAACAGAAGTTTCTGAATATTAACTGACAATCTAAGGCAAATTCTTCTAAGTGGAAATGTTCATGGGGGAGAATGGAATTTTTCTTTTTTCTTTTTTAAGATTTTTATTTATTTATTTGACAGAGAGAGCGAGAGAGCACAAGCAGGCAGAACAGTAAAGGAAGAGGGAGAAGCAGGCTCCCCGCCAAGCAGGGAGCTCGATGCGGGGCTTGATCCCAGGACCCTGAGATCATGACCTGAGCCGAAGGCAGACGCTTAACCATCTGAGCCACGCAGGCTCCCTGAGAATGGAATTTTTCAATAGAATATTTCTAGTCCAAATCCAGTAATTCTTCAGGAAAGTGAGAGCTAACAAGCAATTGCTCTTCTCTTATGACAGTTTTTGTTCATGTGCGTGTGTGTGAGAGAGAGACAGAGACAGACACAGAGAGAAATATTGGGTCTTCTTTGTGACATCCTACTGTGCACATGCTGGGTAATGGGTTTGGACTTGGGCTATAAAATCTTGGCAGGACCATCATGACCCATCACCTATGCATACACCATTTAAAAATTCAGTGTCTTTTGGGCACTGTAGTCGCAACGAACCACAATAAAAATTTAGTCATGTATGGATAATGAAAATGCTTCTTGAGGCTTTTGCTTATGTCTCATTTGCTTACATCACTTAGGACTATTCAGAGGCACTTCATTTATATGATATGAAATCTATTTGCTTTTACCCAAGGAAACAAAAATACCAAGGGATGCGTGGGGACAACTCCTTGGGAACACCGTACCTAGAAATATATGCTTAAAATGAAGATATAAGTAGGTCTTATTTGCTCATTTTGTCTCACAATTGCTGAAGGAAACATTAACTTTGCATCCCATCAGCTCTTCAGGGAAAGAGCTGACCTTCTTATAAATCCTCAGTACCCAGATGGAGATCAATAAATATGTGTGTTATGAGTGAAAACAATGAATGAATGAATACATATCCAATGTCATTTGAGTTCTTTCTCTACAGTAGTAGGAATGATTTTGTACTGATTCATTTACACTATCATATAGTTCTTACACGCAATTGTTTATATGTAAACGTAAGTAGGGTTGCAGTTTATTCTAGTAACTGGACACTTTGGGGTCATTTGGCCTCAGTAGCGTGCTAATACTAAAACATATTTTTTAAAGGCACTTGTTAAACACTTAAGATATAGGGCATTGCATAGTGATTAATTTCATGAACCCTTACCAAAACCCCCATGATGTAAGTACTATGATTATTATATACATGGCAACAGAGGAAAGTAAAGAAGGTTCCCACAGGCTGCTGTTGTGGTCATGTTTGTATGTGAAACCAGGGACCCCTCTGATTCCACGGTCTGCACAGAGCACTGCCTGGGCTGTTGCTTCAGAGAAAAGGCCATGGAGGCCACTCCTGTGAGAAGAGTTGCCCTCATCAGGGACCACACGGCAGTATTTGTAGATCTTGACTATAATTAGGTGGGACATCTCTTGGTCTGACCTCTGTACTCACTAGTCTTTTAAAACTGTGGCTCCCAGAAATTGCAGAAGTATATGACATTCTTCTGGACTGTTAGAAACTCAGGGTGCTATGTGAAGCAAGAATTAAAATCTGTTCATTCATCCATCAAGGTGGTCTCTGGGTAGAAACTCTGTAACTGCATTAGCAGAAGAAATGGTTTTAGGCAGTGTCCTATCTCTGCAATCCAGTGAAGCAAAATGAATTCAGAGAATCTTTCTGCACCTACACACAGGAAAGATAGATAGATGTTGAGATAGAGGGAGGAAGGACCTAAGTTTGCTAGAGCCCTAAGCAAAAGAGAGTATGAGAGAGAGAGAGAGAGAGAGAAAGGTTTATAGCAAGCCCCCCCGCAAAAAAAGGATGTAAATTCTAAAGTGATTTTCTTTCCAGATTGCAGAACATATTTATTTTTGGTCTTTATTTATAAATTTTAATTCAAGGTGCCCAAATTCCTGGAGACTTTAAAGAGCATAATGCCTTTCCCTCAATAAGACAAGGCATGTGGGTTCTATTTCTGGTTATGAACCTGAGGACATTTTATGGCTTGGCAGTGTTTCTGTGTGAAATACTGTAGTGATTTAGGAACACTCTGAAAACCTCAGCAAGAGTCATCAGAACCACACTAATTACCAGATTGGCCCTTCTTATTTTCTTTTCCCTCAAGAGCCAATTTATTAGAGTAGAATTCCCTCCTACTCCCGGACCGGGGGAGGAGACTGCTTCCCCAAAACCTTTAGTGTGGTGTTTCTGTGCACAGCACCTTCTCAGCAGGTACAATAATACATTTAGAGAGGTCCTAGACTCAGGACTAAAGGGAACTGAACGACCCACTGAATCAACTCACTTTTCAGGGCTAGACTCCTCGGCCCATGCTTGGCTGTCTTCCTTGCTTCTCCACCCAGGGGGGCCTTTCTATCTATGCAAGACTTCTGATTTGTTGGAAATATTTTTTCCCACTGCACAGGAAAAGCT